ACTTAGAGTCCAAGAACACATTCTACTCCTTCAGTGATTATTTTGTGGGTGATTTCACTAGCACAGAAGTCTTGATTCCAGTAAAAGCAATAGTGACGGCAAAGCTCTCCTGTGTCCTGGATGGGCATCTGCAATCGCAGGGATCTCGGGGGTCATAGAAGTCCTGACATTGACAGAGAGTCCTGGAAACTTAACAGCCACTGAAGTCTGAGATGTTCAGTTTGCTGGGCAGTACCTCTAGCAAGGTGTGGCAGTGTCTCTCTCTTAGCAGTGTCTTTCTTTTGGATCCTTTTTTAACAATGTGTTTGTCCTTACCTTCTCTTTTGAGTATGTGACTCACAATTTGCTTATCTATGTTATGCACACTTGTTTACTGTGTATCCATCTGTACCTACTTTTTTAAATATTCTTATGTCAAAACATAGGTATACAGTTACTTGTGTTTACTATAGATCTAGAACACATTAAAAGCATGTACTTTTTTTCCCCTGGCGAAGCTGTATAATCATCTTCATTATATTTTATTTTTATTACCATATAAACTCAGTAACCAAACTAAACCTGTTGTTGTCCTGTTCTGACTCACAAAACAGGGTTGAACTGCCCCCTAGGGTTTCTTCCTTGTGAATGAAAACTGTTTTGCATTCTGCCACGTGTTTGTTGTTTCTATGCGTCATTGACAGAGGACTGACTCACAGCTGAGCCTCTAGTGCCTCTGAAAAAAGGCAATAAATTGCAAAGGACTTGCTTGTCCACTTTTATCCTGTGAAGCAACTGGGGAATTCAAACTGCGTATCTTTGAATTGGCGGCACAACTCCTTGGCGACTAAGCCATCGACCTCCTTACAGGTTTGGCGCATACCTATTTTTGAATTCTATATTTTTTTAAATCCTTCATCACCCTCACAACACAGGGGCAATCAGATATATTCTTTGAGTTCCTAAGAAAATACCATGTGTGTTTCGACTCTTTACTTAAATCTTTGTTCAACACACACTTAGGAAATGAGGTTACTCTGAGATTTCAATAAAAGCTATGTCCTTCTGCTTGGGTTTCCTAGAGGCAGTATGTCTGTTCTTGGGGTAAGGGAGCAAGAATGAAGAACTTTGAGTTTATCATTTGAATGCAAACAATAATTTTTTTAAAGGATTGATTTAATAATGTCATTAAAAGGCCTAGAATCATAACCATTTCCTGTATGAAACCAGCTCTTTCGTCGTTCTTTTTCCTGGGATTGGTTGTCCTGTCCTTTCTCATTCAGCACTGGGGTCTCTGGCTTGATGATTCCCTTTGACCTATTGAGTTAGCTTCTGCAGACTACTCTGCTGAAATTCCAAGTTTGTTGATCTGGGGACTGAAAATGACATTTTATGTTCAACTGAGGGGAATCAGACAGACCATCTCAAGTGATAGAAAACATTTCTCTTTAATTCCAACTCACAGTGACACTCCTGGCCAGAGAACTGCTCCACACGGTTTCCAAGGCTGTGAACTTTATGGCAGCAAGTGGTCAACTGCAGTGCAGCAGCTTGTGGGTTTGAACACACTAACCTTTCAGTTAGCATCCAAGTGCTTGAATTCTGAACCATCAGGCAGGCCTCCTTCATAATAAAAAAGAAAGACAAAACCAAGACTTTGTCTAAGGAGATGTGTGCCTTTAGATGAAGTGTGAGAAGATAGCACTGAAATGACTTCTTAATGTTACTTCTTCATTCTGAGATGTAGTCTCTTTCTGGGTATTTTGGAAGAATCACTTAATAGCATCAAAGAGATGAGAAATAAATATTTTCAAAAGATCAAGTGCCATATTTACACGCACAGTTCTATATGTAAAGATAGATACGTAAAGATAGTTCTATACGTAAAGATAGTGATAATTGGAAATGACAGGTAGCCAGGGTCAGCTGAGTGAGGAAGGCAAAGGAACACCCTGCAGTGGGAGGGGTTGGTTAGAAGAGGAGAAGGAGTAAGCTATGAGGGGTGGCAACAGCTCCTCCTACATTCTCTAAGGCAAGCACTACTACTCAGGGTAGCAATTGTGTGTATATTTGCTGTCTGGAGGGAGGGCTGGGTTTGTACATGTGGAAGGTGTTTAAGAATACAATGAAAGAGTTTTACTTTTCAAGGAGAAGAGTGAATTGGGAGGGACAGGGAGAAAAGTGCAACAATGAATGATTGAAAACCCTAAGACTCTGTAAACTTTCATTAAAATTAATAATAGTAAAAAAGAAATATATTTGGATGAGAAAAAGTTTAGCTCGTGCTTGGTTGGACCACCTGACAAATCTGTCATCTGCTGAGCACTTCCGACAGTTCAATTTCAAGAAACCCTCTTTATGGCCTGACTTTATGGGAAGTTTGTCTCTGCTGATGGATGTAGCTGCTCTTTCAGTCCTTCTGGATTCTAGTTTAAGTCTGTTCTTGCACAGGATTTTCATGAAGGGATAGCAGGGAAAGTGGCCCAAGGCAGTCCAAAAGAACAAGATTTATAAGGGGTCAGAGCAGTGGGAAAATCTTTGGAAAGCAATATTCTCCATGGCATCCTGGAGCTCAGGTGGCTTGGTGGTAAGGAATTGTTCTGCCAATGCAGAGGTGCATATTTCTAATCCACCAGCTGCTCTGTGGGAGAAAGATGGGCAATCAACTCCTGTGCTAGTTACTGACTCTGAAAACCCACTGGCTATGAGCCAGTTCTGACTCTATGGTACACAACAACCATGACATCTGTGAAACTCAACTTCTTTAATTTGAAGGAAAAAAGAATGTAAATGTGTAGCTATGAGTCATAAATATTTGATTCATATTATATTTTGATAACAAAGAGGCTTAGAAATAAGCATACACATAAAAATTTTGCTTTGTAGGCTCTAGAGTCAAGTCACATATGTGTCTTGGTGTCGACAATAAAAATAACTTGACTTCTTAAATTATTGACCAGGAACAGAATAATAAGAACACCAGTGATTCAATGGCAGAAATCTCACTTTGCTCGTAGGAGATTTGGGTTCAATTCTCAACTAACGCATCTCATGTAAAACCTCACTGAATCTGTAGTGGAGACTTTTTTATGATGCCCAAGCTTTGAATTGCAATACTGAAGGACTCTAAAATCTTGAATGATGCAGGAGTCATCAAATGAAGATGAAAGAAATACACAGAGTCACTGTACCAAAAAAACCCATAAGTTTACATTAAAACATTTTTAGATATTAGTATATGGCCAAGAACCAGTGGAAAAGAAGGAAGTTTAAGCTGCACAAAAGGCATTGGCAAAAAGTAAGTCTTCGGGAATTGATGCTGGTATGTTTTGACTAGCAGATGCAGCTCACTAGTCTACTCCAAGACCTTTGGAAGACAGCTAACTAGCCAATTGACTGAAAGAGATTTGTATCTATTGCCATTCATAAAAAAAGATAATCCAATAAAATGTGGAACTTACTAAACAGTATCATTAATATCACATGCAAGTAAATATTTCAGGAGATTATTTAAAAATGGCTAGAATAGTCCATCAACAGAGAACTCTCAGAAATTCAAGCTGGATTCAGAAGAGGCCTGGCAACTAGGGTTATTATTGCTGATGATAGATGGATATTGGCTGAGAGCAGAGAATGGCAGAAAGATGTTTACTTGTGTTTTATTGACATGCTAAGGCTCCTGTTTGGACCACAGCAGTTTATGACTAAAATCGAGAAGGAAGGGATTTCTAGAACACTTGATAGTGCTCATGCAAAAGTTATACACAAACCAAGAAAGTATTGTCTGAACAGAATAAAAGAACACTATATGATTTAAAATCAGAAAGATGTGCATCAGAGTTGTATGCTTTCTCCAAACCTCTTCAATTTATATGCTCAGCAAAAAAAATTGAGAAGTGTAACTACAGGAAGAAGAATGTAGAATCAAAATTAATAGAAGACTCATAAACAACCTGTGTTATGCAGATGACACAACTTTCTTTGCTGAAAGAGAAAAGGACTTGAAATACTTGCTGCAGGAGATCAAAGCTGCCAGCCTTCAATACAGATTATATCTCCACATCAAGAAAACAAAAATCCTCGTCACTGAACCAATAGGCAAAATTGTGGTAGATAGAGAAAATTTTGGAGTTGTTAACATTTTCATCTTACTTGGATCCTCAATAAACAGCCATGGCAATAGTAGTGAAATTTTTAAAAAAATCAAAAGATATGTTGCCTTGGGAAAATCTGCTGTCAAGTGCTAAAGAGCAACGATGTGTATTTAAGGTAAAGGGCACTTGATCCAAGTCACGGTATTTTCAGTTGCTGCCTATGCACCTGGATGTTGGACAATGAATAAAGATGACAGAAGAAGAATGGATGCCTTTTAAATTGTGGCATTGGAGAAGAGCCCTGAATAGGTCATGTACTGCCAGAAACCAAGTAAGTCCATCTTGGAGGAAGTGCATCTAGAGTGCTCCTTAGAGGCAAGGATAGTGAAACTCTGCCTCACGTACTTTGAGTATGACAGATGGTGAGGATGGTGCATGATAGAGCAGAGGTCAGGACTGTTGTTCATAGGGTTGCTGTGAGTTGTGGTTGACTCGATGACATCTAATAAAAACAATAACATAATGCTGTGCAGGTATTAACAGTTTCTAGACTGGGATGACCACCTATTCCTGAAAATCAGAAACTAGTCAATGAATACCTTATATCTCATAGCTAGCATTCTAATCTTCTTGTGCATGGTGTCACCATGGGTTGAGACCAACTCCACAGCAGCCCACAACAACCTTATGGTACCCTGAGTGCTTGTGGACCAAGCAGGTGTTGACCATTTTTAAGCTAATTGGAAGAATGATTGAATCGTCTATTCTGTTTTCACTTTTCAATTATAATGAAAATAATGCCTTAGTTCTTACAAGGGAAAACATGTTCTTTTCTTTTTTTCTGCCCATATAAACAGTCCATTTTTAAAGTCTTCAAGGTAACTTATTTTCAAATCATTTTAGGACTTGTGGAACTCAATTATCAGTATGACTGTGCTGTGGATGCTTCTGGGTCTCCTTGCCCTCACTGGTGAGTACTTTTGTTTGTTCCAAATGACCTTGTAGATGAGGAGGATAGCACAGGAGGGTAATAGTACTCCTGGACCTTGAAAATGTAATGGAAAGCATTATTTTTCTCTTAAGTGTCCAACAAATCCTGGAGTTAGTAACAGCTACAGACAAGTGACATTCTTCCTGTTATCCCACAAAAGAGAGAGGAGATACAGAATTCAAGGGGCCTTCAGAAGTTTGCCTGAGGCTAAACTTTATACATACACCACCCAAGACTGCTCATTAGTCCACTATAAAAATTCTCCCTGAAAGTACTTTCTTATTTATTGACTATTTCCACAGAATATATCAAGATGACTTACCACAATAAAACTCATATAATTCTTTGAGAAAATTAGTATCAAGAGAACCAACGCAGATGTGACTAAGCCAACCACTGAGGCTGGGCTATTTGCTTGAGTGACAAGTGACTGTCAGCTATATTACTAAGGTGCCCAGGATAGGAAGCAAGAATTTTTTTTTTTAATCAGCATAGTTTCAATGCTATAGATGTTTCAATGCTAAAAGAAAGAACCTGTTATTTTTAAAAATTAGAATTAATTTTATTAATGCTATTTTGTTCATGACTGCAAAGAGGATCAGAACTCCTCCAGTTTAATGCCTTATATTAAACTTTTTTCAATATGTAGACTTATCTGAAAGCAGCAATTGGGAATGTTATGGAAACATCCGGACCCTGGAAACCCCTGGCGCATCTTGTGGGGCTGGAAGACGGCGAGGCCTTAACTACTGTGGTAGTTATAATCTCTTGATTCTCTCTTGCTTTCCTTTTCTTTCTTTGTCTCAGAAGACAGACACCTGTTGATGTTAAAGAGATAGTTTCCTCCTTCCCTTAGTACTCCACTCATACTTTCCTGAACTTCCTCACAGCTCTTGATCTTTTCAGCCTCCCTTAAGGGTTCCCACAGACCCTCATAGGTCTCAGCTATGATCTAGTGGAAGGAGCACTGGGTTTAGTGTTCAAAGACCTTGTTTGTTTCCCGGCTCTACTTCTCAAACGGATCTGAACCTGCCTTGAAAGTAGCCGGGGGGGGGGGGGGGGAGAAATAACACTGGTTTACATTGTTATAAACTCTCTTGTAAATACTGGTGGTGTAATCTGCTAGTAAAGATGATGTGAAAGAAAAGTGCTTTCTAAGCCATAAAAAAATCTTTACAGGTAGGTGGTTATCCAGTTAAATTAACATTGGTTTTCATTTTTCCAACGTTCCTGTTATTTTATAAAGCTCAAAGTTCACAAATTATCCCAAGCACGAGCCCTGGGTGAACAAATTGTCAAAGGAAACTTCTCAAAACCTCATCAATGGATTTGGGAGAATTTTTTTCTTCATATCTTGTGTCCATTGTTGCTAATGTACAGACACATTTTACCAGGTAATCTTATCTAGGGACCTTTGGATGGACCAGTTGCATCCTGCTTATGAACTGCTCTGGAGAAGGGCACTGGCAGTCCATGGGCTATTCATTACTCTTCTCCAGCATCACAATTCAAAAACATCAGTTCTTCTATCATCTTTACTCACTGTTTAACTTTCACAAGCATAGGAAGCAATTAAAAACACTAGGGTTTGGATCAAGTGCAATTTAGTCTTTAAACTAGTATTATTGCTCTTAAACACTTAGGAGAGATCCTTGAAAGTAGATTTCCCCAAGGCAATGTACCTTTTGATCTTTTTGATTGGGGCTGTATGAGCATTGACTGTGAATCCAAGTAACATGAAATCATTGACAACTTCAATCTTTTATCTATCTATCATGATGTTATCTATTGGTCTAGTGGTGAGAATTTTTTATTTTCCTTTGTTTTTTTTAAAAAATTTATTTTATTATTTTTGTGTGCGTGTACCGTCAAATCAGATCTGACTGGTACAGGAGAAGATTGTCCCTCCTTTCCCGGCAGAGCATCTGGTGGATTTGAACCGTGAGCCTCTGGGATTGTAGTTGCAGCTCCTTACCACTAGGCCACCAGAGCTCCCCCTTATTTTCTTGATGTTGAGATCTAATCCATATTGAAGACTGTAGTCTTCAGTCTTCAGCAGCAAGTAAGTGTTTCTGGTCCACTTCACTTTCTGAAAGCTAGATTGTATCATCTACATAACACAGGTTGTTAGGTTGTTGATAAGTTTTCCTCCAGTCTTGGTGCGACATTCTTCTTTATGTAGTCTAGCTTCTCAAATGATTTGCACAGGGTACAGGCTGAATCACTCACTCACTCATTGCTGTCAAGTCAGAACCGACTCACAAGTTTTCAGAGGCTGTAAATAGTATGGGAGGAGATTGCTTATCTTTATCCTCAAGAGCAGCCAGTGAATTCAAACTATTTGCTTCTGGGCTGACAGTATAACTCCCTACCTTCTAGTCCACCAGAGCCTCCATATGGAGAAAGGACACATCCCTGATGCACATCTTTTCTAATTTTAAACCACACCATGTTCATTTGTTCTGTTTGGACAACAGCTTCTTGGTCTATGTATAGGTTTTACATAAGCACAATTAATTGCTCTGAGATTTCTATTATTTTCTTTTTCTTTCTTTTTTTTTTTGACAAAGGCAAGGCTGGTGTGCCCAAATTTATTGAAAATATTACAGCACAGCAAACAGACTCAAACGGCTCCACGTGGTGTTTTGAAATTCATCCCAACTGTGGGCTGAGTGACCTGGAGGTTGGACAGACTGCCAAAGTCCAAGAGTTTCAGCATTTCCTTAGTATCAGGATCTACTTCAATGATCTCCTGATCCAGGGCTGAAACCTCTGGTACATAATTATCTCTCCTTTCTCTCTCCTCCTCCTGCAGCTTAATGGAGATGCCTCTCACAGGCCCTCTCTGAATCCGCTTCATCAGATGTGTGACATAGCCTGCTATCTTGTTCCGGAGTTTCTTGCTGGGAATAATGGCGATCTCCTCGCACACGCGCTTGTTCGTGTGGAAGTCATTACCCAGGCGCGTGTAGTATTTCTCAATGATGACCCGGGCCGCGTTCTTCACGGTTTTGGTGCGAACGCGGCCCATGTTGGCGGGTCCTTGGTGAAAGAGGATTCCTATTATTTTCAATGTTATCTATAATTTGTTATTATCAACAGAGTCAAATGCCTTTGCATAGTCAATAAAATTCAGACAAATATCTTTCTTGCATTTTCTCCTTTCAACCAAGATCCATCCAGAGTCCGCAATGATAGCACTCATTTCACAATCTCTCATGAATTTAGCTTGAATTTTCTGGCAGTTCTCTGTTGATATTTTTAATTCATCTTCAACAAGATTTTACTTGCATGTAATATTAATGATATTGCTTGATAATTTCCATATTTTGTTGAATCATCTTTTTTTTAAAAAATGAGGACAAGTATAGATCTCTTCTAGTCAGTTAACTTCCAGCTCTCTTCTAAATTTTTTAGCGTAGACTATTAAGCATGTCCAGGGTTACCTTTGTTTATTGAAACATAGAACCTGGTATTCCATCAATTCTTGTAGGCTTTTTTATTTTTTATTTTTTTTTTGCCAGTGTCTTCAGTACTCCTTGAACTTCCTTCATTACCATGGGTTCTTGATCATATGATACTTCTGAAATGATTCAGTGTCACTTTTTTCTTTCTCTCTCTTTTTTTTTGTGCGCAGTTATTCTTTGTGTTCTTTCCATCTTCTTTTGATGCAATCTGCATCAACAAACATTTTGTCCACATAATCCTTCAGTATGCAACTTATTTGAATTTGTTTTTCCATTTTTTTCAGCTAGAGAAATACCCAAAATGTTCTTCTCTGTTTCCAACTCCAGCTCTTGGAGTGTTTTTGTTTTTTAAATAATGCACGGGGAAATCTGTCTACCTGTTTTATTTCAGCATTTCTTCCCTTTATTTTGGCTTTTTAACATTTTAGTACAATTTTCAGCATCTCTTCTGATATCCATTTTGGGCTTTTCTTTCTCTCCTGTCTTTAAAATGAACTTTGGCTTTCTTTGTGGATGATGTCTTTGATGTCATCTCATAATTGATCTGGTCTTTGATCCTTAGAGTTCACAGCATCAAATCTATTCTTGAAATTTTTTTTTACACTTCAAATGGGATGGACTGAAGTTCATATTTTGGTTCTTGTTGACTTGTTTTCAGTTTCCTCAGCTACAGTATGAACTTGCACATGAGTAGTTACACAGTTTCCCTTAGTCTTGTTTCAACAGCTAATACTGAACGTCATAGATCTTTTCATAGGTTTTTAGTCATTGTTATTCCTTTTAGTCCATCAGATGAGGTTCATGTATCTAGTCAATATCTGAATTTTTTTAAAAAAAGGTATTTACAATTAATAAATCATTATTGCACAAAATTCAACCATTCAATCTCCATCTTGCTATTTCTGTCACCAAGTCAGAGTGACCACTGAGTTGTTAGTTGGGTGTGTTTTTTTCTCTTTTAAATGCTTTTCACAAATGCAATCTGACACAAAAGGTTTGAGGCTGAAGGTTGGACTTATTTTCGGACCTGTTTCCTTAGATCTTTGGAGTGGACCTGCCCCCATTGATTCCCATGACAGTGAGTTACATCAAGCTCTAGCAAACACATAGGATAAAATTGTGCTTTTTTAAAAAAAATCCATCTTTTCTTGTTCTCATTTTTGTTTTAGGAATTCGTGCTTCTGAAAGGCTGGCTGAAATAGACATGCCACAGCTAATTAGATATCAACCCATGATGCGAACTGTTGGCCAGAAATACTGTGTGGATCCTGCAGTGATTGCAGCTATCTTGTCCAGACAGAATCATGGAGGCAAAGTCCTGATCAATGCAGGAAATGTGCACAATGGATTCGGGGTGGTGCAGGTAACTATTAATCAATTCTTTCTACTTGGCATAACTTCAAGGGGAGACAATCCACACTTATTTCTTGGTTGATGGCATATCTGTTGTACACTTCCAGAGAAAACAGAGTGAATGATACTTCCTGAGGTTGTGAGAAAGAAGCATAGATCATGCATGGCTATTGAATACTTGGTGGTTCAAACCTATCCAGAAATACTGCAGGAGAAAGGTGTGGCAATCTTACCGCATAAACATTACAGCCATTACAACTCAAACTGAGTAATGAAAATCTGCTTTGTAACCTGTGTGTCAACATGAGTTGGCATTGACATGATAGTAATAAGTTTATTTGTTGTCTTTTCTTTCTATTTGTGAAAGCTGTCACTCTTAGAGATAAAAGCACAGATAATTTTTCCTCCTTTTTGAGCCGTCATCCTTTTTTCCAAATAAATTATGCTGTATTTCTAATATGTTATTCATGATACCCTATCCTGGATTTTCAATGAGGTAGCAGCATAGGAACAAGATCCCAGATTTTGGAGTTAGAAAAGTCTTGAATCCTTGCCATATTCTTTGTGTGACCCTAGACACATCATTTAATCTCACCTGACTTCAGTTTCCTCACATATAAAATTCTACCCTCATAGAATTGTTATGAGTAAATAAGACAAGCAGCATCTGGTAGAGTCTCAACAAATATGAAATTCCTTTTCTTTTACCATTCTTGGTTTTGAGATTCAAGTTTTATTTTTGTATTAATTCTGCCTGATCTCTTCTGTTGTCTGCTGGACACTCACAGACTAACTCTAAATTGAAGGAGTTGGGGAGTGGATAGCAAAGGTGAAAAGGAGGCAGCAATTTTTTTATAAAGTATCTCACATAGCTGTTGTTGAGGAAGTGATAACAGTGCAGCATTTTTTTAAGCTTGACAGACATTTATTCCTTCAATGAACTTTGAATTGTACTCATATAATGCTGTGTATAAATCTTTGCCATTTCACAATACTTTCAAATGTTGTTCTGCTGTTCAATTGTGAGGTAGCTTTAAGTCAGAATCAACTTGTAGTGACTTCCTTATACAAGAACAAAACTCTGCCCAGCACTGTGCCGTCTTCACCATTGCTGTCTTTGAGTCTATTTCTGTGCTGAGGATTTCTGTCTTTTTGTTGTTGTTGTTGACTTTCAACTTTACCAAGCTTGCTGTCTTTCCCCAGGGACTGGCCCCTTTTGATAATGTTCAAATACTTTCTCTTATTTTGATTTGAGGATCCAGTCCATAATCTGCTGAGAAGTGAGAAGGGTAATCCATTCTTTTCGAATGAGGACATGGATGCTCAGGGTGACAATCACTGCTGTGCAGCCACATGGCAACCAGGAAAGATGGAACTAGATAGGATCAGCAGTGGTACCTTGTGATGTCAGGGCCACCATGGTTTCCTTTATGCCATTCAAGCTCTGCTATGAAATCTAATTTGGGAGAAATATCAAATTCATCTCCTTTGACAATTAAGAAAAGTTTTAGACATTTCCTCTAAATATGAAGATATCTGTGTGTAATCAAAGAGTATTTAAAAAAAGTAAATACTTTGGTATTAAGTCAATGTCAATTCATTCTGAGCCTCTAGGACTACCACACAGGTTTTTTTGAAGATGGTAATCGTTACAAAAGCAGACTGCCACAATTTTTTCTCATGGAGAAGATAGTGGGTTCAAATTGTTATCTTTTTTGGTAAAGCACTCATGTGCTTAACCATTGTGCCGTCTGGGTTCCTTGACCAAAAGGCTATAAGAGACATTAAAAGTACCTTTAGACTCTCAGATCATTCAGAAGATTATACAAATAGAAGTATTAAATCTCCTTTCCTTTTCCCCCTCATCCTCCCCTATCTCCTCAATTTGTAGCTAAGCAATAGAGATTAAAATACTAAGGAGGTGTACTTTTTTTTTTTTAAAAAAAGAGATACATATATATTTTTTTCTTTATTAGCTATATTTTGGAAGTTTCTGGAGTCCTTGTTGTTATGTTACTGTTCTTTTTGCCCTTCAAAAGTGGTAAGTAAGTAAGTAATGGTGGAGCCTGCTTGAGGGTGTAGCTTAAAATCCTAAAAATTTATTTTTAATTTTTAATTTTAATTTATTTTTAAATATTTGAAGATTCTTTAAAAGACACAACAATCATGTGTCTTGGAGTTGCTGTGATGCTGTGATGCTGAGCACTATTCCATAGTTGTGTTAAACTATTATAATGGTTACCCATTATGTACAATAGTTCGATGAGCTTCCAGCTTGATTCATGTAGGGAAGCAGGAGTGGCATCCACTTCCTAAGCCAGATGCCTCTGGAAACTCTACAAACTCTCTTATAAACATACAGAAATGACGCTAATTATCAAAGAGTGTTCGGGTCTTTGGTGCAGAGCTTACTCTGAGTCATATTCGACTCGACAACACTAAACCACTCCTAAATGAGACTACTGCTGCTGTCTGGAGCAGCATTCTTCCACTTTGCACATCACTGTTTGTCAATGTGCTGTATGAGGTAACCTGGGTTTGCTGTGATCCTGAAACAGTGCCATGAGGATAGCAAATACCATAATGGTTTCCCATTGTGGACAGTGTTTGGTGGAGCTCCCAGTTGGAAAAAGGCTGGGAAGCCGGAGTGGCATTCACTTCCTAAACCACATCCCTCTGGAAACTCTATGAACTTGGAGAAATACAATAGCTATGGAAACATGAGGGCTATGTCTTTTGTTCATAGAGTTGCTGAGTCGTGCTCGACTCAACAACAATCAACAACTAACATCAAATATTTTATTACTTAGTAAAAACGTTCACTTTATTTATTTCTTTTTCAGCCCTCTCTCTCGCTTCTTATTGCTGTTTACCTTCCAAAAGGCATTCTTTCTCTGTGTGAACAGTTTCTTGGGTTTTTATATTAGCAGTCTTTATCATAATTGTCTTTTTATGACTGACTTATGTCACTCAATGTTATTTGTTCTAATTTCATCTATGCTGTGCTATATTTTGATAATTCCTGAAAATTTTTTGGTGAATACTTTTGTGTAACTGCACCACAGATTCTTTACTCATTTATCCATTTATGGACACCTGGGTTGTTTCCAACTCTTTACTATTATAGATGATGCTGCAATAAACATGGAGGTGGATATATCTGTTTGTGTCACAACTCTTATCTCTTTAGGGTATATATCTAATAGTAGGATTGCTGGATCAAATGGTATTTCTATTATCTATTTTAAAATGCCAAATTGCTTTCTCTAGAGGTTTCATCATTTTATATCTCCATTCAACAGTTCCAATTTTTTGCACTTTTGCCAACATTTATTATTTAATGTCTTATTAAAAACTGTTATTTTTGCTGAGGTGAGGTGATATATATCTCACTGTTGTTTTAAGTTGCATCTCTCTGATAGCTCGTGATCTTGAGCATTTTTAAAAATGTATTTATTGGCCGTCTTTGGTGAAATATCTACTCATGTCCTCTGCCCCTTTTGTGATTAGGTCTTTTGTCTTTTTCTTATTGAGGTATTGGGAGTTTACCTTGTTAGGCATGTCATTGGCAAATATTTTTTCACCAATCTAAGGGTTCTATTTGGATTTCTGGAGATTTTTTTTTAGTTTACACAAAGATTTAAATTTTTGGAGGTTCCAATCATCTCATTTGTCCTCTGTTGAGTATGTATTAGGAAAAAACCCTCTCTTTGTTCTGTTAAAGAAGTTTGAGCTTCCTGCACTGATGGAGGGATTGAAGCTAATAACTAGGCTAGTGCTTAGGCTAGATCAATCACCTTATGCTCCCAACTCCACATTTCAAACCTTATACTAGAAAACCAAAACCAAGGCAGGTCGTCATCAAGGTGATTCATGGTGGTTCCATATGTGTCACAGTGTTACTGTGTGCCCCTGAGTTTAATAATTTGCGTCTCAGAAGCTCATTGCCAGGTCTTTTTTTCTGTTGTTTGTTTTTTGAGGCACCCTATTGTTGTTAAGGGTCATTGAGTTGACTCTTTTTTTTTATTATTATTATTTGTGTGTGTGTATACCGTCAAATCAGATTTGACTGGTACAGGAGGATATTTTTCCTTCTCCAGCAAAGCATCTGGTGGATTTGAACTGCTCATTTCTGGGATTGCAGTGCAGCTTCTTGCCACTAGGCCATCAGAGCTCGCTTGAGTTGACTTTTTTATTCCTATTAGACCCATGACAACAAAGAGAACAAAGCACTGCCTGATTCTGTGACATCCTCACAATCTCTGCTGTGCTTAAGCCCCTTGTTCCCATCAATGTGTCATCTCATCTCATTTACAATCTCCCTCTGGGTGGACTCAAACTTCCAATCTTATAGCTAGCCATCAAATGTGTTAATTATTTGCATCATTCAGGGACTTAAAGCTGCAGGGTTTTCTCTTTGCCCAAATCTTGTAGTTTTATGGTTTAACCCCCAAGAACAGAAGGTGAGTCTTTTTTGTAAAGGAGGACAAGAAAGAGAAAAGTAACATAAAATGTCACATCCCTCCTCTACTTGGCTTCTCTTCTGTTTCTCTCCTTTCCTCCAGGACTCTGGTCGTTATGCTCCCACATTCTTGATCAACGAGTCCCATGTTTCTGGAATGACAGAGGTTCTAACTGGTAGAATCAAAGAAATTCAGAGGAAGTTTCCAACCTGGACCCCAGACCAGTATCTCAGAGGTACATGCAATGTTATCTGGCCAATTATTTCACTGTGCATAACTAATAACAGCAAACATAATATACTTCACCAGACTCTCCCAAATCACAGTATCTCTCCATGGATAATCAGGAAAGAGTAAGTTAACTGGTGTATAACTTACCCGTGAGGAGCTGTTAAGTCATTGTTAACTGTCATTTTGATTTCAGGAGGACTCTGTTCCTACAATGGAGGTGTAGGCTATGTCAGAAATAGCCAGGACTTGAACTGTGACTTCTGCAATGATGTCCTTGCACGAGCCAAATACTACAAGAGGCATGGCTTCTAATCTTCAGCTCAAATCCAAGATCGTTATCATGTATATACCAGGCCTCAACTGTTAACACCAATAAAATTTGCCAATGACTATTGTGACTATAAATCTAAGTTTGAGCTGAAGGAAGTCTTATAACCTGAGCTTTGTGAGCAGGTGTGTGTGTGTGTTTGTGTGTGTGTGTGGTGTGTGTATGTGTATGACAGAGAGAAAAAGAGAATCGAAGACTCTGTCTCTTTAAAGCTATTAACATGGAGATTAAGTGCAATGTGGAAATCTATAAACTGAATGCTATGATTCATGTATTACCCATGGTGAACAGTGTTTGGTGGAGCTTCCCAATTAAAACAAGCTTGGAAGCAGGAGTGGCATCCACTTCCTAAATGGCTTGTCTCCGAAAGTTTGAATTTAAGATACTCAGGGAATAACTTTTCAAGGTCAAGCTCATGCAATAATAACAGAACATGTTATACTAAAAATTATTCATTGTCTATCAGAAATTTGCATTTAACTGGACATCTTTTATTTTATCTGACAATCATACTGTAAAACATTTTAACCTTCACTGAAAACTTTTAATGATAAAAATGGTAAGATAGTGGTGATCCACCTGAGGGATAAGATCACTTCAGAAGAATAATTTTTTTTTTATTTTACTCTGATTTACTTACAAAGTTTGATTACATTGTTTTCCACAAAAGAATAGGAAGAACAATTTTTTTTTAACTTCATTGCGTTCTTTTTTTGCCCCAGTACTGCGTCTGTCATCTAAGTTAACGTCTATTCTTGTGTGAATCACAAGATAGTCTCTGCCTTGCAACTGTTCTGACAAAATTCCCAATTTCTCCAAAGTATCTAGAATTCATCTAAATTCTTCTGTTGTTTGGGGGCATTTAACTCACTCATCAAGCCAGGGAGCTCTGGTAGCCTAGTGGTAAGAAGCTGAGGTGAAATCCTGAAAGTATATGGTTCAAATCCACCAGCTATTTCTTAGAAGAAAGATGGGCAATCTCCTTCTGTGCTATTAACTATCTTTGAAAACCCACCAGAGAGTCAGCTATGGATCAGTTCCAACACAACAATTAAGAATAACAAGGAAGAACTGATGCATTTCAATTAGCATGTTGCCAAAAACCATTGAATATACTGTGTACTGCCAGAAGAATAAACCTCTTTCTAACTAAAAGTGTAGTCATAATGATTCTTAGAAATGAGATCAGATAAATAAACTATAGGGCATACATGTAGTGGAATACTATGCAATGCTAACAAATAACAAAGAATGTTACTATGCACCTCTAGTTTGGATGAACCTGGAGGACAAGATGCTGAGTGAAACAGACACAAAAGGACAAATGCTATATGTATCCATTGATTGGTTTGTTGGTTTTTTTTTAAGCTACCGCAAAGTGTGCAAAAAGGATGAAATAGTCTCAGAATATTCTTTGGTGGGTATCTGCAATAGGAAGGGAGAGGAAGTGAAAGAAAAATTAACAATTAACTAGAGACATAGCAGGTTGGGAGAAGGGGAAGATTAAAAAAAAAATAGAAGAAAGAGTGGAAATATTTCATCTGTGTGCTAGGTACCATCAAGTTAGAACTGACCTATAGCTGATCCTCCAGCGAGTTTTCAGAAGCATTAAATCACATGGGAGAAGACAGCACATCTTTCTCTTACAGAGCTGCTTGTGGATTAAAATTGTGTGTCTTCAGGTTGGCAGTACAGCTGCTTCCCACTAAGCCACCTAATCCCTGGAGAAGGGACGTTGTGTTAGGTAGAGTCAATTAAAAAAGAAGAATAGCCTCAAAGAGAAGGATTGAAGCAATGGCTGCAACAATGGACTCAAACATAGCTGTGATTGTGAGGATGGTGTACTGGCCAGACAGTGGTTTGTTCTGTTGTATATGGGGTCACTATGAGTTGGAATCAACTTTTCAGCATCTCACACCACCACCTTATTGTGCTTAGCTCTGTACCAAAACGCTACACCAGAGTCTCTACATTTGTTGTCATTAAGTGCCTTTGAGTTGACTAAGACTCTTTCTGACCATATGAACAACAACAGACTAGGCTCTTGTCCTATCTTATGTCATCTTCTCAATCTCTACTATGCTCAGTCCATTGTTACAGTCACTGTGTTAATTTATCTTGTTGAAGATCTTTCTCTGACTCATTATGTCACGTTGTTTTATTTTTTTTAAGTATTTTCAATGAATAAACCATTGATTGTATAAAACTCTATCATGTGATCTCCAGTCTCATTTGTGTCACTAAGGACATATTTTCCAACTACTATTCCTTCTTCTTGAAAGGAGTGGCATCCACTTCCATAATAGCATGCGTCTGGAAACCCTATGAACCTGGAGAGAGGATGAAAGGCACCCAAGCGTCGAGAACTCTCCTTCACAGGGTCGCTATGAGTCGCCTGCGATTCGACGGCACTTAACAACAACAACAACAACAACAACAACAACATTCCTTCTTCATTTCCAACTTTTGCATTCCAGTCATCAATTATTATTAGTGCATCTTGATTGCATGTTACATCAATTTCAGACTGCAAAAGTTGGTAGAAACCCCCAATTTCTTCTTCTTTGGCTTTAGTGGTTGTTGGACTTACTGAAAAGATTAGTTGTATTAATTGGTCTTTCTATATGTGTATGGAGGGTACCCTGTCACTCAAAGCATTGTACTTTATGATAGATCTTGAAATGTTCTTTTTGATGATGAATGTGACATCAATCTTGTTCAATTTTTGGTTCCCGGCATAATCGATCATATGATTGTCTGGTTCAAAAGGGCCAATACCAGACTATCTCAACCTCAGCTTGTTCTGAATTTGTGAAATGTCAAATTACAAAATTTAGTTGGTTATAAAAACTCACACAAATGAGAAGGTAACTAACTATACCTGTGTACAAGGGATGAATCCAAGTACAGTGTACAGGTCTCCCCTTCTACCTCAGAGGTCCATGGAGTCTCTTCATGCCCCGTGATGCCCTTGATTTCCTCAAGTGTCAATTTCCTTCTTGGTTTCTCTAGATACTTCCTTCCAAGGTGTACACTCAAGACTGAATCCAGCAAACCTATTCTCACTAAGGAGAAAATGTGACTGAGAAAAGTCATTAATGTATCCTCTTCATATATTTACACTTAACTGACACAAAGAAAATAGAATGTGAGGAACTTGTTATGAGCCAGTAGTGGAAACTTTTGGATTCATAAGAAAACAAAAAATCATTCTGTCGTTTGTGACTCTTGATGACCCCATCTGTGCTGTAGAGGGTTTTCAGTAGTTGAGTTTTGAGAAGTAGGCACCAGGCACCAGGCCTTTCTTCTCAAGTGTGCCTGAGCAGACTCAAACCTCTTGCTTTTTGGTGAGTAGCCAAGCATGCCAGCAGTTTGCATCACCCAAGGATTCCTTAGGTGCATAAAATTCAAAACTCAAATTTATTTGAGTTTTGGAAACAATTTATAGCTGACCCTCCAGTGTGCTTCTGAGATTATAAATTGGATGGGAGGAAACGGCTCATCTTTCTCTTGAGGAATTGCTGGTGGATTTAAATCACCAGAAATGTGTAGCCTGAAGGTTGTTGTTTGTTGTTGTTATGTGCCATCTAGTCGTTTGCAACTCTCAGTGGCACAAATTTCTACTGACAACACCACCAGAGATCCCCCTAGGTGACTAAAGTCTTCTTGAAATCACAGCATTTGAGCAGCTTCATACAGATACCACTATGGACATGTATGTCAATGAATTCTATCAAGTCAATTCAGAATTATGATAACAGTGTGCATACTGTGATAGCTTATGTGTTACTGTGATGCTAGAAGCCATGTTACCAGTATTTCAAATATTGAATACTGATCCAGCAGGATCACCCAAGTAGGCAGACTTCAGTAGAGCTTCCATACTCAAACTAATAAACAGTTGTTGTTGTTATGTGCCATCGAGTCTCCTGTGACTCATAATGACCATATGTACAACAGCCCTAAACCCTGCTCTATCCTGTGTCAATCTTATTGTCTCTGACACACCTACCCCCAGTACCCCAGTCACTGAATCAATCCATTTAATCGAGGATCTTCCTCTCCTGTGTTATCTCTCCACCCTCCCAAGCATGATGTCCCTCTCCAACATGCCTCTCTTCGCAATATGCCCAAAGTATGAGAGACACAGCTTCACCATCCTTTTCCAAGACAGCGTAAGTCCCTATCCACCAGGCCTCCAGAGCGCCATCAGTTCTAGATTGTTGAGTACCAGCTAGTCAGAACTGAAACACAGCTGACCCTCCAGCAGGTTTTCAGAGACATTAAATCACATGAAAGATTGCCCAGCTCTCCCTTGGAGCAGCTGGTGGATTCGAACCATGTGTCTTGGCGTTGACTGCACAGTTCCTTATCACTAAGCCATGAGAGCCCACACACCCAACAACCAAAAAAGCCAGTCTGTTGTTGCCCTCTAGTGTATATGATGTGTAGTAATATGTGTATGTACTAACTCACCTTTCATCACCTGCCTTGCAAAGGAAATAGAGTTGATTCACAATTAGACAAGTCTAGCCAATATGACTTTCATGAAATGATAAAAACATCTGTTCATTTAAAAGTATATATTTAAATATCATGCATTTTTAATATCATGCATTTTAAAGGGATTCCTATGTATCTGAAAGTTGGACAATGGTTAAGGATGACAGAAAAAGAATCAATGTCTTTAAATTGTGGTATTGAAGAAAATTGAGTATACTCCAGACTGCCATTAGAATGAAAAAGTACATTTTGAAGAAAGGGTTAATCAGAGTACACCTTAGAGAGAAGAAGAGTAACATTTTATTTCACTTACTTTGAAAATATTTTCTGGAGAACCAGTCCTTGGAGACAGACATCATGTTGGGAGAAATGAAAGTCAGCAAAAGAGAGGAAAACCCTCAAAAAGATGGACTGACTCAATGACTACCACCATGGCTTTGAGCAGGGCAGAGCTCATGAGAACGGCACAGGTCAGGGCAAG